CCCCCCCCCTCACCCCACCCCCTCCCGACACCCCTTCTCCACCGACCAAGGCGGGCGGGCGAGCTCGCTCCCGAGTCTGGAGCCGGCGCGCGGATCCGCCGCTGATAACGCATGTGCGAACGAGACGCGGGGCCCAGCCGACTTTCTCCGCGCTCAGACACACGCCCTCGCTCTCAGACGTCCACACTTGACACAGACACGCCCTCGCCGGCCGCCCGGTCCCTGCAGGTGCGAAGGCGGATACCTCCGCGTCCGCAGGAGCTGGGCTTGGGGGTCGAAAACTAACCCCGCCAGGCTGCGGGCGCTCAGGCCAAGTCAGCCCTCCCTACGCTCCCTTCGCTCACAGCCTGGGCCCTGCGCGGGCGGCTGATTCCCCGGGCGCGTCCCTATGGAGAGCTGGGGCCAAGTCTGCTCACTGGCCGAGACCGGCCGAAAGCCGGGCGATCTTGGGAGCACCGGCCCTACCCACGAGAAGTCCTCAAGGCGTGTTCCGGGGCGCGGTTCCAGGAGGCTGGGCGGGCCTGCAAGTTTTGGGGCGTCATCGATCTCCCCTAAACTCAGCGGCGCTAGACAGCTGAGGGTGGGGCCCTCAATTTGCTGGGCCTGCCCTAGTCTTTCCGGAACGGATGTGAAAACTCATCCTTACCTCGCCCTATCTCCCTGACCTGAGAGTCTGAGAGCCCAGAGTCTCTGCGACCCTGCTCCTGCTCCACACTCCAGGGTTGCAAATGGCCCTCTTCCCCTTGAGACTAAACCCCGAAGGTTCGGCTTTCCTGTGACTCCCCTCCTTTTTCTTCTTCCAGTGTATCAACCCCTACTTTCTTTTCTTCATTCAATCAGTACATTGGGAGCTCTGAGCGTGACCTTCTTTCAGTTGGCCACACTAGCTGGGGTCGTTGGGGGGATCCCCAGCGGTGACGCAGTTGAAAAGGGCACACTCTGGATTCCAAATAGCCAGTAGATTCCCGGGGCCTGGGGCATGAGGTCATCAGCGGTGATACCCATTGGTTCCCGCCTGCAAGTGAGACGAGGGTCCCCATAGCAACCGCTGTGTGTCCGAGCATAACCTGGAGAGTGGTCATTCATTGCCCGAGCTGCTGTGGCAGCTTGGGTAGGTGCTTGGAATAGGGCGGAGATGCTAGCACGGGGGAGCCTCACTTCCCAGGTTCTTCAGCCCTAGCCAACGAAGCTCTTCGCTTTCTTGAGACAGTCTCAAAGCAGTGGCCAGTGCTACTTGACCCAGAAAGGTTAGGAGAGGGTGACTGGCCACAGTGTTGGGATCCCGGGTGCAAAGCTTCTGCCACCCGGAATGTCAGTTCTGAGATCCTTGTGTTCATCTGCATATCGTCTGCATCTCATTTGCATTCTCTTCATTTAAGGTCAAATTGGGCAGACATCTCCACATCCCCAGCCCTGTCTCGCGCGTCTGAAAGCAGAATGTAACTCTTAGAGTCCCCAAAGCTATGCCTCAGTTGCCCACTCCACGCCCTGCCCTAGCCCTTCCCCCACTCTCCACTGTCTCCTGGGGGCGGGAGGGGGCACATTGTAGCTAAAGGAGAAAGGATCAGGAGTTGGCCTCTCCCTCTGGGTGTTCAGTGACAGATGGGGACTGCTGGTCTGTACTGCCTGGAGACTAAATTGGCAACGTAAGTGGTTGGGGGAGGTGGCCGGGCTGTGTTGAGGGTCTCTGGGGCCAAATCACCCACACATGGCCTGGCAGGGTGCTGGAACTAGGGACGCCTGGTTCCAGCAAGGGGTAGGCCTGCCCACCTGTCTGGTGCCAGGGCAGCTTCCTTCCTCCAATTAAACACTAATGAGGTGTCATTAACCCTTACCTTGCCTGCCAACCCTCAGGTGGAACTCAAATTACGGTCTCACACCGAGGGGAAGTGGGAAGAAAGGCCTTTGAGGGCACTGAGAGGCAGTGTCTCTGGGGACCAGGAGACAGGGCCAGAGGCATAACTAGCGTGTATCTCGTCATCCTCTGTGGGCCCCTGAGAGAGTCTAGGAATGGGTGTCCTACTGTATTTATTCTTTTGTTCAGCCATGCAACAATTATTTATTAAGCACCTCACCTGCTCCTACTGACTAAATACCAGACTGCATGCTAAATGCTAGGAAGACATACTTGCATAAGACAAGATCCCTTCCCTTAAGGAATCTTCAGATTACGGAGGAGACAGACTGGCCGATGAATAATTATAATGCCAAGCGCAAATGCTAATATAGAGCTCTATACCAAGTGCTATGGGAACACGGGGAACATGGGCCGTCAAAGGAGGCTTTGATTTTGAAGGACAAAGTTTATGGGAGGGAGGGGATGTGTCGAATGCATGTCCGTGTGTTTGACACGTGTGGTCCATGTGGAGATGTGTTTCCAGGAGCCACGATGGCTGCCCTCCTGCAGCTCTGTGTGCTGCACCTGTGTGTAAGTGTGCGCGCGTGTGTCTGTGTTGTCTGGATCTCTCTGCGTCTGGAATCCCTTCTCCTGAACACACATTACGGTTTTATTACAGATCGATGTTTGCCGTGAAGCTCTTGTGCAGATTGGCCTGAACCTGCCCAGCCCAGGGGAGGGGAAATGGAGAACTGATGTTGGCTCCCTGGGAAGGGGTGGGCAGGTACCATCTTTACACCTGGGGGGCCCAGACCCCTGGCTCCCCAAGTGGCAGCAGGCTGGCCAAAGGAAGCAAAGGGTCGGGCCCGGGCTACAGTAGGACGTGCCCAGACTACGGTCCCCTCTGCCCCCAGTTCTCCAGGGGAGATATAGGGGTTATAGCCACCACTCCCCACCGGGCTCTCAGGCCCCCTCCCCCAGCCGGTTTCTCTGTGTCTGCGGAGGAGCAGGCCGGCTCAGACCTGTCTGCTGGCTCTCTCCTGCTGGGAGTAGATCCTTTCCAGGGGACACGAGAGGGCTGGGGAATG